GCATAAAATATTTGCGATTCTATCACACATCCAAATGGAGATACTAAATAGATATGAATGTTTGAAATTTTGAGGCGAGATCAAGACAACACACAAATATATTCATATATATATATATATATGCATGTGTATATGTGTGTGCAAGGTTTATATGTATATGTATTTGAAATTACATATGAAAACAATATGGTTAGAAAAGAATTCTCAGGGTTGAGCCTTGAGTCACCCACCCTCTAATGGTTATCTAGAAGAGGGCAGATTGATGGAGAAGGAGCAGTCAACAAAGTAGGAAAAAAACAGAAGAATGTGGTATCATGAAGACTGAGAAAACATTTAAAGAATGAGGAAGTATTTGCAATTGTCAAATACTAAAAGAATTTAGATAAAAGGTTATGGAAAATGTGATTTTGAGTGATTTTAAGGACAGTTGCTTTGGGTGTCATATATTGAGAGGTCTAGTAGCATGTGTCAAGGTTGCTCTTGACAATAGCACTTCCTGCTCTTCCTCTTCTCAAAGGAAGTTTAATTGGAGGGGCCTGGAAAAAGCAAGAGAGATGAGGAGATGAAGGAAGACACGGAAGTAAAATTTTTGATAAATTTGACTGGGAAAGGGAGCAGTGAAGTGGGAACACTAATAAGAGAAGAATATAGAGTCAAATATAAACTTTAACTTTGGGTTGAAGAAAAGTCAGAGACAAAGCATTCAAGATGGAAACTGTTAAAACCTGGGTGTGTGCACCAAAGAGTAAGAGGGGGCAGAGCTGATGCTGTTGAAGAGTGGAAGGAGTAAAGCCATTGAGAAAACAAGAGAAAAAAGGATGAAGAGCAGTAGATAAGAGGTTGGTCTCTGATTATTCCTGAACATTACTTCCATTGTAAGAGAAAGGAAGACCAAAGATACCTGAGATCCAGTTTGCTGAAAGAAACAACTCACCCTTCCCTGGCTGGTTCAGAATATGTAGTCCAGACTAACATTCAATTCTCTTCTAATGCAAACTTTTCAGCTCCACTCAGTTTTCCCTCAGCTAATAGTCAATAGGAGAAAAAAGTAGTGAGAGTCCTAGGAGATGTGTGTTCCTTTAAAACTGCAGCTATTGCCTTTCCCTGCCCCAAATAGCAGATTGTCCCTCATGCGTGATTTAAGATACAAAAGCTTTTCGACATAAGCCAAAACAAATGAGCATTTGGAGGGCATATGGCATTGTAGTAACTGATATATAACTAACACTAGATTTTGGCCACATTATAAAAAGACAATAATTTTGAAAGAAAAGGTGTCTTTACATTTGAAAGGTCAATGTCCATTACTTTCTGCTAAATATAACCCTGAAAATGAGAACTTTAGTGATTAACTCTCTCAATCCTCTAATCTGATTATCAGTTTTGGCAGATGTTCCTCTTAGAGCATTATGTCAATGTATTTAAATTGTACTATCTGTTTGCCCTATGAATGATGAACTTTATGTTTGCATAGAAATGAAAACTGATACAGCACTTTCTGGGTACTGAACCAGGGTCATGGAAACATATATAATAAGCTTGACTTTGGCCTTCATTAATGTGGAAAAAAAGGATGTATATACAGTCAATGAGACCAAGGGATCAGGATTTAAACTGCCTGTGCTAACTGAATAGCTTTGGGAAACTCACATATCTATCATTCGTCTACCCTGTTATGCTACGAAATCCCTCATATTTGTATCCCAAATGCCTATGATAAAGTTTGTCACACTTTAAACATTTAATCAGCTCCCTTTTAGGGAGATGAATGAAGGTATGAACATGTTATATACCCTTATTATAACTTTCTTTCTAGGGAGGAGATTCATAAAACTAGGCACAGAGGATACCCCATCCTTTCATGTGGCTTTATCTTATTGTATAACTCCCAAGTGCACTCTGTGCCTGACAGAGGGTGCATTAGCGTAAATGTTTCTTACATAGGCCAGCAAGTTAGAAAAATACCTTGTTGGTGAAGGAGTTGCTTAAACTTAAGCAAAACCCTCATGACTGTTTATTGCTCAGAAGAGATTAACTGCCTTTCTTAGCAGATGTGTAAAATCCTCATAAGTGCCAGCTGGAGTCATTTCAAGTTTTATTTTGGCAGGGCTTAAACTAACAGGCAGCAAAAACTGCCTTTGTTTATTAAGGAGTTATCAGTGTAACTCTTTAAATAACTATGTTACATAATATGTATCCCCACATCACTGGGCTCAGTTAATTCTCAGCATTTACTCATAAGCCAGACATGCTACCTCTCTCTAAGGTGTCTGAAAGAGAAGAAGACAATCTGCTACAATCTCTTTCTTAAATTCTTGGTTCACGCACCAAGCCTGCAGGACTCCCAGAGGATATAGCATCCTACTCAAGGTGTGGGAGGGGCTAAACAGTTCAAAAGCAACTTCATTTGTTGTGGGACCCAGAGGAGTGGTAGTGAGAAAGATCAGAGGCAGCAATCTGACACATGCAGAGGCGCTCCTGGACTCACTGTAGCTATTGCATTTTTAAATTCTGTTATTTCATATTCTACTCTAAGGTCTTGGTATGGTAGAAAGATCTTAGGCCTGGGTGTGTTAGAAAGAATATAAAACTAAGAATCCAGAACTGTGGATTCTAGTCTTGGGTCTGCCAACAACCATGGCAGGTAATCTCAGTTCACACTTCTGTAAAGTGAACATATCATAGTTCCGTTCAGCATTTAAATTATAACAACTTCACACCTTATTTTTACAGAACCCCAGACTCTTTTGAGCCTTTGTCTTTAGCCACAGACAATTTAACCATCAAGTGGTGTAGAAATGACAAATCAATCTGGATGAATGTTCTTCCCAGCATTTCTACAGCATCTCTCAGGACTGATTCTAAACTTCATCTACAGACCACACCATAGAAGGGTGAGAGGCCTATTTTTGCCCCCCTTCCATTTCCACTCCATGCCTTATACAGCAGCCCTGATTGGGCTGAGGACTCTGCTCTGTATGAGATCCCCCTGAAGCTCATTGCTCTAGAAGAGACTAGCAGCAAGTGGTGTCTGATCAGTGTCACAACTTTGTGGGCAGAGACGTGGTTTATGAGCTTGGTTAAGAGAACAGCTGATGGGAGCAAGGACATGGGCTTCAGTTCCATAAGGTCAGTTCATGTTGCTCTGTTTCCTGATGGGAGTTGATGCTCCATCTCAAAATTGTATGCCAAGGCTCTCAACGGGAAGTAGGATATGGGATAATCTGGATGAAGTTTGAACCATTGTGTTAGGGACTAAAACAACATCTTTGAATGCATAAGCACTTTCTATTTAATCCTCACAACACATCTGCGAGGTAGAGTTATGACTATTAGATAGGAAACTGAGGCTCAGAGAGTTTTAAGTAACTTGTCCAATGTAACAAGGAATGAAATCCAGGTATCTCCGAATTCCAACTCGATTTTTTCCATAGCACCATGCAATTTCCCAAAATGTCTGTCTTCATTCAAAAGGGCTAATCTTTTTCCTTTTTTTTTTTTTTTTTTTTTTTTTATTCAGGTTCAGTCTCACTCTCTCATCCAGGCTGGACTGCCATGGCATGATCATAGCTCACCACAATTTCAAACTCCTGGGTTTAACCAATCCTTCCATCTCAGCTCCAATATAGCTGGGACTACAGGTGTATACCTAGTTTTAAACTTTTTTTTGTAGAGATGAAATCATGCTATGTTGCCCAGGTTGGTTTCTGACTCCTGACCTGACCTCAGATCCTCCTGAGTGAGCCTCCCAGAGTGTTGGAATTACTAGCAGGAGCCATTGTGTCTAGGGGTTCATTTTTTTTGTGTTAGCAGAAGATGATCAAAAAGTGTCCAGCAGCTTAGAACAAAGAGAAATGACAGTAGTCAGTGCTACATGAAAACTGAGTATCAGTTCTTGAATTTTATGTTAGTCTAGTTTAAAGATATATTTAATTATATTCAGAAGATGGAAATAGGTAAGTTTGAAGTTGAGTTAACTTGTCTCCTGAATATGATTCTCAGTAAATGAGTGGTAAAATTTCCCTCCCCTAATAATATTTTGAAGGAACTTGGAGGGTCTAACCTGACTTTACTCTGAATGTGTCATTCCAAAACTGGCTTTCTGTCGTAGCAGTTGGTGCCTTAGAGCCAGCTCACACAGGTTTTGGCTATGGGGAGCTCTGACTCTTGGAGATCTTTTCCCACCTCTGCATTCAGTGATTCTGTAGTGGCAGCTTGAAATTGACCTTAGTGAGAGCATTTACACCACAGAAATCAGTGAACTATACAAGTCATCCCTACCCCATTTTTTTTTTCCTACTGGAGAGGTAGGAAAAAAATTAAACATTTACCCTTATGGTTTCAACTATCATTCTTAATCATAGATATTTGGTAATCAAAGCTGACAGCATTTCCAGATCAGGCTGGTTTTCCTAGGAATATGACCCTGTAATATGACATCAGAATGACTGAAAACTGTCACAAGGATATAATGTGCAAAGTACCTCAGATTATTAACCCACTTTGAGCAAGTTTGTCCTTTACTTTTCAGGGCTTCCTGGAGACTTGAAAGAGAACTCCTGTAAACTCCCCCCTATTCTCAGAAGTCAAGAACAATTATTTACTTGAGAATGTTGAATAGGACAAGAGAAAAGAAGGGAAGAGACATTTGTTAAGAGAACCTATTAAAATGTCTTCAAAATTGTCTTTACTATTTTATGTAAAATTTCACTGTAGGTAATTGTATTTTTTAAAAAGTATATCACAAGTTAATATGTCAAAGGAACAGGGAACTTTAATGGATGTACTGACATTAAGAAATGTGTGGGAAGGCACTGATGTGGTCAAATCTTCATAACTCACCAAGACTACCTCTCTGGACTTCTATGTTTCACCTCCAAAATTATAGCTACATGCAAAAACATAGCTTCATACATGCTTGATGGGGGTGTAAAATGGTACAATCATTTTGAAAAACTGTTTGGTAGTATTTAATATTTCTAAGTATTTTATCCAAGAGTAATAAAAGTTGCATGTCCACACAACTCAGCTTTATTCGTAAGAGCCCCCAAACAAACTAGAATCACAAATTCCAGTAACAGGACATTTGTGGTATATTCATATGTTAGAATATTACTCAACAATTTAAAGGAAGAGACTGATACACTCAGCAACATATATATTGTAGGATATTCATACATTTTGGTACATTCATATTTTGGACTAGTATGCAGGAATTAAAAGGAACAGGAACAGACTGTTGATGCAATGACCTGGGTGTATCTCAAAAACAGGAACTGTGAGAAAGAAATACCACACAGTGAATACTTTATGATTTCATTTATATGTAATTCAAGAACAGGCAAAACTAATCTACGGTAATAGAAATGAGAAGACTGGTTGTCCCTGACCTGAGGATGGAAGGATTGTTTTGGGAAAGGATTCGTGGGAACTTTCTGTCTGGGGTGATGGAAATGTTCTAATTCATTCTCTCTCCCCACCCTCCCCCGCTCTCTTTCTCCCGAGTAGCTACAATTTCAGGCACCTGGTGTGTGTTTTTAATAGAGATGGGGTTTCACCATGTTAACCAGGCTGGTCTCGAACTCCTGATTTCAGGTGATCCGCCCGCTTTGGCCTCCCAAAATGCTGGGATAAGAGGCATGAGCCACCGCGCCCAGCCGAAATGTTCTAATTTTTGTTAGTGGTTATACACTTGTCAATTTATCAAATTGTCCAACTACGATATATTTTAAGCCTGTATTAAATGTAAATTAGAACTTGATTAAAATTTGTATTAATAAATGTAAATAAACACATATTTACATTTCTAATCTAATCTGGTGGTCTATTGCAACGAATCCCGTTCCCCTCTGACCCAAGAATTGCGCACTTTCTCTCCACCGGCCTTTCAAATACCTGGACTTCATGGCTTCAAAAAGTGGATTCAGGCTTCTTCAAGGCACAATCACCCGCAGGTCATTTCCCTCTAGCTCGCAGATTTCCCATCACCGACACAAACGCCCCCTCTGAACAGCCCAGCCTGGACAACAGGAAAAAGTTTGGGAGTCAGGTTCAATTCAACTTTTCAACTTGGCGGGGAATTCCTCTCCCTCTTACACAGTTTGCAGCAGGGGCGGCAGGGTCACAGCCCCCCTGCATGAATCAGCCACCCCTCAGGCTCCGCCCCGGCGGGGAACGGCCGGATGCTCGCCCCGCATAAAGCCGGCACTACAGCCAACTGGAGCAGGACGCCTCAGCCCGACCAGAGCCGGTCGCTGCGCGACTCCTCCCGCCCGGCGCTTTCTCGGACGCCTCGCCCGGTGGGCGGCTAGTCCCCCTGCACCATGGATCCCTCTCGACCCGTGGGACTGTCAATTCTGCTCCTGTTCCTAACGGAGGCTGCACGGGGCGATGCTGCTCAGGAGCCACCAGGTATCTGGCCACTCTGGGAACCTCTGTCCCCAAAGAGCTTCCCCCGGTGCGGGCGGAGAGGGCGAAGCGGGCCAAGGGGCCCTGCGCACCCACCCTCCAACCCCCGATTCCTCGAGGCTCCTGCTCGCGCTCCGAGGAGCTTCCGGGAAGCGGGACTGGCTCCCAAGTTTGCACTTTCTCTGCAGAGGCCCATCCGCTAGGAATCGGCAGGGACAAAACTCCCCGGAACACCCTTTCCTTCTAGGAGCTATACCTAACCACTTTCCCTGTCTTTCGCCTTCCTTCTGCCCCTCCTGCAGGAAATAACGCGGAGATCTGTCTCCTGCCCCCAGACGAGGGACCCTGCTGGTCCCGAATTCCTAGGTACTACTACGACAGGTACACGCAGAGCTGCCGCCAGTTCACGTACGGGGGCTGCGAGGGCAACGCCAACAATTTCGAAACCCAGGAGGCCTGCGACAACGCTTGCTGGCGGATACAGAGTAAGTGCCCCCGGGCGCACCCGGGACTCCCTCGCGCGCTCCGTGCGCAGGCGGCCAGTAGCAACTTCGCAGGTTTCCCAAGTCTCGCTATCTACAGGAAGTTGTAGCCTGGGTTTTCTCGTGTTAAGCAAACCCCACAGTTTTCAGTTTCTCAAAAGTATTCACTAATTTACAACCACTAACACATTTCCTGTCTCCCAGCTGACATTGATCATAATTCAATGCCTGGGCAGACTAAGGGATAGATTTGTTACTTCATCATAGAGTATAATAAATGCAAGAGAATAATGTGTTAGGTGCAACATAAGTGCTTCTCTGTATTTATCATTAGTTCCAAACCTATGGTTTTTCTCTCTCCTGGAGGACACAATTTTCTCTTGTCGATTATCCATCAATCTGAAATACTTTTAGTGGATTTTATCATTAAAGTGTGATTTGGCTCAACTCTACTTTTGTCCCGATACCCAAACGTGTTGGATTAGTTGCGGGATATGGTGGACATTCATTATACTGCTATATTTTACTTTATTTTTAATTTGTAAATTATATCTGTTAAGGCCTGTAAGAGAACATGGGGCTTTGCCATTCAAGGAACTGAGGCAGGAGAAAACGTGTATTCATGTGACTAAGCTTTGATTAACTGCGTATGTCCAATCAGAGAACACCCAGAGAAAACAGTCTTTCCACTCAACTTGAAAGATATCACAGCTGAGTCAGCTGAATACGGACACTTAGAAAAAAAGTAAAGAAAAAGGGAAATAGCTGGATTCATGGGAGTGTCTGGGGATTTACTATCCCAACAATAATAAAACTTCTCCCCGTGCCCCCGAATGTTCCTTAAAACACAGAAGTTTGAAAGTAATAATAAGAAGCCTACTTTTAACTAACATTGTTCTATTGCCCTCCTTTTCCTAGAAGTTCCCAAAGTTTGCCGACTGCAAATGAATGTGGACCAGTGTGAGGGGTCCATAGAAAAGTATTTCTTCAATCTAAGTTCCATGACATGTGAAAAATTCTTACTCGGTTGGTGTCACCAGAATGTGAACATGTTTCCAGATAAAGCTACTTGTATGGGCTTCTGTGCACCAAAGGAAAGTAAATACTATTTTTATGGTCGTTCTATTTCACTTTTTTATTAAGACATTTGGGTGGAAAAAATTCGATTTGATGTGAAATAACGTGGTTTGCATTCTCATGATTTCACATTACTTGGCAAGTTAATGATTTGTCAAGTTCTTAAGACTGGAAAGTGACAAAGCCATGATTCAAATTTTTGCTTTCTGCCTCTTCTGAATTGTTTCTTTAGAACTATTTCTCATCTACTCAATTTACACATAAAAGATTATTCATTAATGAATGTTATGACCTCAGATTTGTACAGAATCAGTTATACATGTGGGATAGTGGAATATATACAGAATTAAGATGGTGAAACTTGAAAATTTCTTTCTAAAGTTTTTGGTTAGATTTCTATATTCTTTAGTAATTGCAAATTGCAGCACAATCAACTCTACACATTTCTGTCCAATCCATCTGTTACCTCTCACACCACCACCCCTGAATCCTTGAAATGATGGTCTCTTGAGTAGCATTTATTATTTGCAGAGGGAGACAATACAAGGATTTCCCCCAGACACAGAGATTTTTTTAAAAGTTCAACAAGCAAGGAAGACTTGCTTTGGCAGAGAATTTGATAAAGCTTTATTGCTATACTGTGTTGAATATGCAAAATCTTGAGTTAATGTGGTAACGGTTGCTGTGGATGTGCTCGTTTGTGTAGATATGTTTTGTTCCAGTGGTTACCTGGAAATTAATATGCATATATTCTTGATTAATAATAGAAGGAGAGCTGTGAAAAACATTTAAAAAAACTACCAATGCAGCAAAGTTTACTAAATCATGCCATATATGGTCCTTGAAACTTAGCCCATTTTTACCTAACCATATCTGGTATTTTGGTTTAACTTCTTTTTATATTTAAAGACTACAAAGATATAGCACACCTTTTAAAGGTTTAGTATGATATCTTGGATTCAGAATGAGGCTTCTATGGGATTCGATTTTCTTCAGTTACTTCGGTAATCACCATAATTTAAAATTTCTGGTATTATAACATTTCTAATGTTCTTCTCTTTTTTTACAAAGGTCTATCATATTGCTACAGTCCAAAAGATGAGGGACTGTGCTCTACCAATATGACTCGCTATTATTTTAATCCAAGATACAAAACCTGTGAGGCTTTCACCTATACTGGCTGTGGAGGGAATGACAATAACTTCGTTAGCAGGAAAGATTGCATACGTGCATGTGAAAAAGGTAGTGAATGTTTTCTTATTCCACCTTTAGATAAACTTTATAAATAACTTATCAGCAAAATTATATTTTTATTTATTTATTTTACGAAGAGCAAATTGCTATTTCTAGGCTACCCCTACATAACTATCTCAGTGGTGTTAATCAGTATTGTCATAATGCTTTTACTGGCTAGCTGCAGTAAATAGTAGCTGTATCTTCATATCTTAAAGGTAGAGTGTTATTAACTGAGTGTATAATGAGTTTTGACTTTACAGTCCTTAAAAATAAGATGAAGTGAGCTCAATAAGCATATCAGAAATGGTGATTTATAGTGAGCCTACAGACTGAAGATGTATGATTTTCATTGTTGTTTTATTGATTTTAGCCTTGAAGAAGCAAAGGAAGATGCCAAAGATTCCCTTTTCCAATAGAAACCTGAAAATTTGGAAGAAGCAATTTTAAGCATTTTTAATATGTCATCTCGTGAATGCTTATTTGCCTTTATGGTTTTATCCGAAGAATAATATGATAGCATGAGGAAACAAATCATTAGTGATTCATTCACCATTTTTTATTGATGCAAGTCACTTTTTAAATTTGTATGTTTTTTATCTGTGTAACTGGCTGCTATTCAAATGTGAGTCTACCATTTTTAATTTACAGTTCAACTCTTTGTGAGACTGAATTCTGCAATGTGTAAGATAAAAAAAGGAAATATGATTCACCCATTTCTTGGGATTGTATCCCTGATTTCAGAAGAGGATAGTAACTGAAATAGCACAAGACAATATAATTGTGTGTTTTCAACATATTTGAGAATAAAAAGGACTAGCAAATAAAACTCATTTTGCGTTTAAAAGTTGCATTATATTTTAGGCCCAAGAAGATAAAGTTTGAGATTTACCAACACTTTAAAAAATATTCCAAGTGCTGTTACGCAGATACAACTAATATTATTCCCATTTTATTGTCTTAGATTGTAGTACAATGAATGAATACGGGGATTTATTTAAAAGATCATAACTTTCTTGACCAATTTAAAAAGCTAATCAATTTATCAAAACCAGAAATGTTCACAATTTCTATCTATTTATCTATCAATCCCCACTCACATGTATATGTTTGTGTTGACATATTGATAGATGGTTTTAAAAGCTTTCCTGTTACATTTTTCCTAAGACATAGTGGGTTGGCGACACTGAAGTTTTAAGAGACCAAGGAAAGTAAAGTTGTTTAAATGTTTGTACTACTTAAGGTGTTTATATAAACCATGCATGAGAAACCATGCATACATTTAATAATTTAAATTCCACCAATAAATTCTCATTGATTAAATATGATCATTCCAGTGAAACAGGTTTTTTTCTTTCTCTGTAATAAAACAATTTTTCATGGCAAGATGAACATATTTAAAAGTATGCCCCTTATTTGGCAAAATTATAAATGCCTTTACCTTTTGCTTGAAGAGTCATTTAAAAATGTATTTCAGTTATTTTGACAAATAGGTATATGTCTGAGAACATTGACTGATGCTGAAAACTAGAAACACCAGATACTCACCAGTAGGGGACTGGTTGAAGATTTTATGGATGAAGAGTGAGCAAAAAATATATATATATGCATGTCTTCTGACCCCCCAGGATACATAAGAAACACAGGTCCTAGAAGAGTAAAAGTCAGGATTTTCAATGTTAAGAGAAAATGAGATATAAGTATAAAATTAAAGAAATTAAGTAAAAATCTTTGACCTAAGTTGTAATTAGAAATATCTGTATAAATTCATAACTGATTTTCTCTATCAAAAAATCTGTATTTCCTACTTTTCCACTGAAAAGTCCTTGAGGTAATGACAACTCAGTAGCAGTAGTTACAATTACCATAAAGACTGTGATCTCTCCATAATCATTAAAAAGAACCAGTGCTCGGGCCGGGCGCGGTGGCTCACGCCTGTAATCCCAGCACTTTGGGAGGCCGAGGCGGGTGGATCACAAGGTCAAGAGATTGAGACCATCCAGGTCAACATGGTGAAACCCCGTCTCTACTA